GGGGAGGCCCCTCTCTCCGGGGGGGGGGGGTTTTTTTTTTTCCCGGGGGGTTTTCTAAAAATCCAAAAATTTCCTTTAAAGGGCCCACAAACAAAAATTGTGGGGCCCCCCCCCCTCCCCCGGGGGTGGGGAAAACCTTTTTTGTCTCCTTTTTGGGAAAATTTTTTTTTTTTTTGGGGGGGGGGGGGTTTTTAAAATTTCCCCAAAACCCCTCTGGGCCGGGAAAAAAACGGGGAGCCCCCCCCCCCCCCCCCCCCCCCCTGTTCCTTTTGAAAAGGGAGGGGGGGTCAATGGTCAAAGGATTCCGCCAACCAACAAAGGGGTCCCCCCCCCCCCCCCCCTTGGCCGTTTCGTGCTCTTTCCTTGTTGCAGGTTGTGGAACAGTCGGACGCCGTCGAGGAGATCCTTGACGCAGACCCGGCGGTGCTGGAGAACCGGCTGTCGGTGCTGCTCCGCATCGAGGGGGCCGTCGAGACCCCCCAGAAGCTGGACTACATCGCCTCTGCCCTGGAGGCGAGGGCCGGGCGGTCCGGCAAGGGCCTCGAGCTCTGCGTCAACCGCATGGCCGAGCCGTGAGTTGGTTCTTGGCGTTATTTTGTTTTTGTGGAAAAGTGCGAAACGCACCTCTGGAGTGAGGCTGGCTCATCAGAGCGTGGTAGTTGTGTCATGAAGGCGTGATGCAAGGTGGTGAGTGAAGCATGTGTTGGGGCGTGAATCGTCAGCCGCCAGCTGCCAGTTACCGTCAGTGACGGTTCTCAAAATCGAGCAGCTCACACGCTCACACAAGCGGCTTGTTTTTTTGACTGGAAGAGACCAGCGAACCTCACCGAACCAAAAAGAAGAAATTACAAATCTGTATTACAGCGTATGCATACAACGCACAGAAAGGCTTCGAGATAGAACCACAGTCGATAGGGACGTGTGTTGAAGTCGTTGCCGTGAGTTTTTTCTGTCGTTTGGTCTTTTGTTTGTATTTGGAAGAGTGGAACCCGGGTGGATGGGTTGGGCAGATGAGTGGATCCCTCCGGTGGGGGAGGTGATGCGATGCAACAGACCACACACAGATAGGAGCAAAAAACCCTGCATATAGCCCTGAAGTCACGAGGAGGTATTTGATCGGGTAGACCGTCCATCGGGCGATGTAGTCCCCTCGTCGAGACTACGTGGCAAGGAGCCGCGCGCGCTCTCTTCTCCCGCCCCCATCATTGCTCCATCATAGGTTTCTCTCGGCGCGAAAAAGCAACGGCGTACAACGTGGGGCGGCCGCCCGCGACCTCGGGTGCAGTTTGTAACCATGACCACTATTTGTGACGGCGGGTGCAGATTCGTATGGAGTTTCGAACCCCACCGATGACCTTTCTTTTTTTTTTTCCCGTGGTCAGCAGTCTAAAACGCTTGTTTATGGGTGCTCATTTTTTCGGGGAGGGAAGCGAACTGCCGAACCCTTTTCTTGTTGCGTGAAGATTGAAGATTGGAGGGCGCGTGCGCACCGCGAAGGGAGTAATTCATTCTGCGTTACCCCCCGATCGACCGCTGCTTTTCAGCGGCAGAGAGGCAGAAGGAAACATACGGCGTGTATTGTTGGCGTTGAAACCTCGAGCGACGGGGACTGGTGTGTTTTTTGCTTTTATCATGAGCGCTCACAATAACTATGGGGTCTCCGATTCCGTGCACACGAAGCTTGCAACCCCCCCCCCCCCCCCCCC